TTTGTTCATTTTGTAATGATATCTTTAATTCTCTAATTTGGGTGAATGTTTTTGTCATTTTTGGTAAAAAGTGATATTTTCAACTTCTTGTTAAAAACCGCAAGTTCAATTGCTTTGATATTACATATATAGGTACTCCATGTGGACTTCTCTCAGATTTGTTCATTTTGTAATGATATCTTTAATTCTCTAATTTGGGTGAATATTTTTGTCATTTTTGGTAAAAAGTGATATTTTCGACTTCTTGTTAAAAACCACAAGTCTAATTGCTTTGATATTACATATATAGGTACTACATGTGGACCTCTCTCAGATTTGTTAATTTCGTGGTGATATCTTTAATTTTCTAATTTTGGTGATTGTTTTTGTAATTTTTGGTGAAAAGTGATATTTTTGAATTCTTGTTGAAAACAGCAAGTCCCGTTGCTTTGATACTATACATATTGTTCATTTTCTAATGATATTTTCTTTTCTATAATTGAAATGTGCATTGCTAACAGCGGAGCTATCTCAGCCGACAGGCTGCTTGTTTTTAACGTACAAATAATCATCATAATGATTTTTTTTTTTCAGGTAATTTATCAGAAAGTCCACCACACTGGATGAAATCATTACATACATTGACAGAAGTTGATTCGCCTACACACATAAACAACTTTTATCCAGCACACATCGGCAGAGGTAAGTGTGATGTTATGTTCAAAATTTCACACACTGATTCAGCAAACTGAATTTACTAGTCTGGTTCATTTGTAAAAATGTGCGATAACTAAGAAAGATGTGAAAAAAATGGATAATCACTTTCACTATATGTGTTATTGTGTAGTTGTGATGTGTCGTAGAGAGTAGATGGTTTTGAAAGCACTACGTTTCTTTGCAAGGAGCTTATCAATTATTGTAATATGTATTTTTTTTTGTCTTTTTCTCGGTAGCTGGTAGCTGGTTTTCACAACAGCCCCCTCCGCCAGGATTTCCAACATCAACAGCAGGTGTACACAGCCCTACAGAGCCACAACAGTCCCTTTGAACAATGTGTAGCTTTACATTACATACCTACACATGCACTGTGAGGCCACACTTGTATGAACTTAAACCAATCATTTACTAGCTTGTTTCACATCCAGTAACCGCAATGACAGAGCTAAGTTCGCTACTCCATTCACACAGGTTGCTCTTGTCTTTCCTCTATATTGCATGCGTAAGGTCTTGCTTCCCTACTTCTTTTTTATATGTGAACATTTCCCTGGTGAGATAGACCACTGGCTGAACTATACTAACTTGTGTGGTTTTCATGGCTAAACTAAAACGAATATATATTTGATTTTCGACAACGTTTGATTATTTTAAAGCTTGACAACATTTTTAGTTTGACTACACATCGGTGTAACAACGGCTAAAAAAACAGAATCACTTGTAATTATATAACATGCATGATTAGATTAGTCCGTGAGTAAAGACTGCAGCAAGAAATTCAACTCAGTCAACTTGGATGATTGATATCGACAGTCCTATTTAGTCGAAAAACCTTGTGTGAACATTTAATGTGGTTTCTCACCAGTGGAAGTGGTCTGTTTGCCTAATTTATTCAACATAGTTAACATATTATAACTCCGAAATACAAATAATTCAAGAGAAACAGACATACTAATAACTTCTCTTATATTTGTCTTTGGGCTCTCAAAAATAAATATCTGCTTGATGCTGTGTTCTTGCTTCCACAGTAGTGCAAAGTAGCATTCATGGGAAGGTTGGTTGATTTTCTTGCTGAAAAAAAGTGGTGCCACACTCGCCTTCCACAGCATCTCTGCTGACATTTAAATATTAATCAAGGTATAACTGTTGACACTGAGCTCTCAACCTATTTTTAAAATGACTACAAACACAGTGTAGTGATTTGGTGATTGTTGTTGTTGTGGGAAGCATTAATTCAGAGCAAACAATTCTATTTAAAAAGAAACAAATAATATTTATGTCACTGCTGACATATTGGGGAGCATGTAATGCCAATAAAAGAATCTCAACTGTCGAAAAGCATCTGGTGTCTCGTTATGTTCTCACTGTTTCAGGTGTGTGTGCGTGCGTGCATGTATGTGTGTTTGTGACTTAGTGGTTTGCCAGCCATCATAGAATTGGTGGTTTGCCAGCCATCATAGAATTGGTGGTTTACCAGCCATCATAGAAATGGTGGTTTGCCAGCCATCATAGAAATGGTGGTTTGCCATCCATCATAGTATTGGTGGTTTGCCAGCCATCATAATATTGGTGGTTTGCCAGCCATTATATAATTGGTGGTTTGCCAGCCATTATATAATTGGTGGTTTGCCAGCCATTAGAAATGGTGGTTTACCAGCCATCATAGGGTTGGTGGTTTACCAGCCATCATAAAATTGGTGGTTTGCCAGCCATCATAGAATTGATGGTTCATCAGCCAACATAGAATCGATGGTTCATCAGCCAACATAAAATCGGTGGCTCACCAGCCATCATAGAATTTGCCAGTCATAGAATTGGTGGTTTGCCAGCCATCATGGGATTGGTGGTTTGCCAGCCATTATATAATTGGTGGTTTGCCAGCCATTATATAATTCGTGGTTTGCCAGCCATTATATAATTGGTGGTTTGCCAGCCATTAGAAATGGTGGTTTACCAGCTGTCATAGAATTGGTGGTTTACCAGGCATCATAGAATTGGTGGTTTACCAGCCATCATAGAATTGGTGGTTCATCAGCCAACATAGAATTGATGGTTCATCAGCCAACATAGAATTGATGGTTCATCAGCCAACATAAAATTGGTGGCTCACCAGCCATCATAGAATTGGTGGTTTTCCAGCCATCATGGGATTGGTGGTTTGCCAGCCATTATATAACTGGTGGTTTGCCAGCCATTATATAATTGGTGGTTTACCAGCCATCATAGAATTGGTGGTTTACCAGTCATCATAGGATTGGTGGTTTACCAGCCATCATAGGATTGGTGGTTTGCCAGCCATCATAGAATTGGTTTGCCAGCCATCATAGAATTGATGGTTCATCAGCCAACATAGAATTGATGGTTCATCAGCCAACATAGAATTGATGGTTCATCAGCCAACATAAAATTGGTGGCTCACCAGCCATCATAGAATTTGCCAGTCATCATAGAATTGGTGGCTTGCCAGCCATCATAGAAATGATGGTTTGCCAGCCATTATATAATTGGTGGTTTGCCAGCCATTATATAATTGGTTGTTTGCCAGCCATTATATAATTGGTTGTTTGCCAGCCATTAGAAATGGTGGTTCACCAGCCATCATAGGATTGGTGGTTTGTCAGCCATCATAGAATTAGTGGTTTTTTACCAGCCATCATAGGATTGGTGGTTTGCCAGCCATCGTAGAATTGATGGTTCATCAGCCAACATAAAATTGGTGGCTCACCAGCCATCATAGAATTTGCCAGTCATAGAATTGGTGGTTTGCCAGCCATCATAGAATTGATGATTCATCAGCCAACATAAAATTGGTGGCTCACCAGCCATCATAGAATTTGCCAGCCATTATATAATTGGTGGTTTGCCAGTCATCATATAATTGGTGGTTTGCCAGCCATCACAGAATTGGTGGTTTGCCAGCCATCACAGAATTGGTGGTTTTCCGGCCATCAGAGAATTGGTTTTCCAGCCATTATATAATTGGTGGTTTGCCAGCCATCATAGAAATGATGGTTTGCCAGCCATCACAGAATTGGTGGTTTTCCAGCCATTAGAAATGATGGTTTGCCAGCCATTATAGAATTGGTGGTTTGCCAGCCATCATAGTATTGGTGGTTTGCCAGCCATCACGGGATTGGTGGTTTACCAGCCATCACAGGATTGGTGGTTTACCAGCCATCATAGGATTGGTGATTTGCCAGCCATTATAGAATTGGTGGTTTGCCAGCCATCATGGGATTGGTGGTTTACCAGCCATCATAGAAATGGTCATTTGCCAGCCATCATAGAAATGGTGGTTTGCCAGCCATTATATAATTGGTGGTTTGCCAGCCATTATATAATTGGTGGTTTGCCAGCCATTATATAATTGGTGGTTTGCCAGCCATTATATAATTGGTGGTTTGCCAGTTATTAGAAATGGTGGTTTGCCAGCCATCATAGGATTGGTGGTTTGCCAGCCATCATAGAATTGGTGGTTTACCAGCCATCATAAGATTGGTGGTTTGCCAGCAATCAAAGAATTAGTGGTTTGCCAGCCATCATGGAAATGGTGGTTTGCCAGCCATCATAGATTGTCTGGGTTTTGTAAGTCATAATAGAAATGGGTATTTTAAGATTTGCCAGCCATCATATAATCAGTTGGTTGATGCTCTATCAATGGGTGTTTGTTGGTCTACCGATTCTTACATTATTGAGTATTTGTTGGGATTGCTCTCGCAATCTATGTGTACACCACGATAAAGATGTTTGGCAACGCAGAGTATCACGATATAATGTATATATCTACATGAATTAACTGCAGTGGCAGTAAACTCAATATATTATTTGCAATTGCTGTGATTTGTACTATTCGTCTTGTATCTCCAGAAGTCAAAATTCCATCAAAACTCAAATTTAGAGGCTTGGTGGTCTAAATGATTGGTCACGTCTGACGGCTATGGTTGAACAAAGTGTAATAAGATATCCTCGTGGTAATTGTAGAATATATCCATTCTAGTAAAATTAATAAAGAAAACTGCTTCATCGTTTCAAACACAGCAGGTCCATAGAAAAACATCAATATCGATCAGTTCGCGGTGTTTGGAATCTAAATCATATTTCATGGATTAGCGCATATCATTCGGTGGTTGGTCAATTGTATTTACCAGGTGGTGTAATGTGTGTATAATTGTGTGAAGTCATACTGTCTCACCATGTCAACAGCAGCAAATTTAATTTGTATGTTCTTGTAATGCCTTTATTCGTTAAGGACAATACAGGGGGTGTGACAGGTTTGTTCAACGAAAGCACATGACGGGGGGGGGGGTAGCGATCACCCCGTACCGCATATTATGTGTATGTTATTTATTTGAATATTCAAAATTGAGAATACGTGATATATACCGTATATACACCTTGTAAAAGAGTGATTAAGAAAATGGCGACGTTATTTTTTCTCCAATTGTATGCGATGACACAGATTGGTCGTTGATTCGTAAGGGTCTTTAGATCTATCTCGATGTGGAGAAAATGTTAATGAGATTCTGTTATTTTGTTTTTTTGTGCACAATGCTGAAAACGTACGTCACTTCCGGGTCTACGAGAGTAATGTGTCTGACGTATTGGAATATGTTTTCGCATTGAACATTTTCTGTACTATACCTATAATGATGACAGGTTGGGAATCGTACCACGTGTGATATGTACTATCCTTGTTTGTGACTGAATGTTGATTCACACACACTACATATTATTTTACGTACCAAAACAACCAGCGCGCATGCGTATCATTTCGAATTTTGTTCCAGCTTTCTTCGCGGAGAAGGAGGTGAATGGATGCGAAATCGTGAGAGCAGACGATGGTAATTAGAGAATGGCAGTGTTGTATGGCCGAATAGTCAGTCTTATACTACATGAACAACGTTTGAGTTCGTATGATAAGTATTCAAATGTGTTCTTCAAGTATTAAAAAGTTGAATTCATTTGGAAAATACTTATAATATTAGCCGTCTTATGAATGTAGATATTAGAGAGGTTTAGTTACGCGTTCTCATTCAAATTAACGTGTGCTGAATACGCGTAACGTCATCATCACGTGACACATAAGTCGTGCAATAGAACCCAGTCAGGTTTGATGGATTATATTGAATACCCTAGTGGATTACGTCAGGAATGAAATCTGACACACTTATTTTTAATGTTTTTTAAATGAATTAACCACCGAACTAAAAATGCAGCACCATCTTGGTATCCAATTGATGTTTGTTTATTATAGATGATGATCAATTATAGGTTTACAGAAGTTAACAGTTATTTAATAAGATGGAATTATTTTGTTATCGTTGGAACATGGCTTTGAACTTAGAAAAAAATATTGTATTCAGCGGAGATGGACGTGTGTAAAAACATGAAAAATTAAAACATAGTTGTATGAAAGAAATTAGGTAGAAATATTATAAACATCAGTATTTCGTTCTCAAACTGAGAGTGGCCTTTAAAGCATTAGTCCAACAAGTAGAAAAGAAACTATCTACAATACTGAAATCCACAAACTCGTTACAATCATTGTCATGTCATAGACATTCATAATGATTTTACCAAATAGATTTCATGGATTTGAAATTTAGAGCTATAAAAGTTATGAGCACTTGAAACGAATCTAATACCTTGCATACAAAGATATTCCACGGTGTATCTGTTAGAACACCGAATAATTGTGTATTTGATGAACGTGGAAGGTCCCCCGCTTTTTTGCAAACGTTAAAACGCTGTATCAAATATTGGGCCAAGCTATCTTGCATGCCAAATTCAGGATTTCTAAAAAAAATGCTTAGAGAATGATTTATATAATATAGAACAATCATAAACAAGAACGCGGCATACTTGGTTCTAAAATATCCAAAATCTTCTATTCCTGTGTAACATGGACAAAATTCAAGAAGTATTTGTAAAAACCTTTCTGGCCCAAAAAATATATATGTAGCATGAGCAAACTCGATTCTTAGTGAGAGTCCAAGAATCGAGTCAGAAAGATACAAGCACATGCAGATTTAAGATGCTCCTCTCAGTTTTTGAAAGTTTAAACAGAAAGATACGTCTTCGAACGCCAAGGGTGACTTCGTGAATTATGTGAAAAACACCAATCAGAAAATGAATATCACTTTTTATTAGTTTGTATATTTAAACAATACTAGTATATCATTTCCATGTATATATCACATTTGTTTCCATAGTTCACCCAGAAATACAAAAACGTCTACTTAACAATACCAGGCAGCACTCATTTTATTCGTCGTCTCGTCGCTTTTGTATGAGACGTATATCAGACATATTTAATGTAAATCCAATGTCCTTGCGTTGTATTACTTTGTATTGTCTCTGGTCTTAGAATTGTTACGAAAAAAACACTAGGTTATATGTTATTCTTTGACAGACAGTTCTAAATAATATTACAAAAGCACACGTTCTTATACATATTGAACAAAAAGTACAATTGCATTGTTCACGCCTAATGCTTTGACATATTGCGAAAAAAAAGAAATCTATATTCATAATAAAGATTACCTAATAGCGTGAATATTGTAAAATGTCCCGGGAAATATTATTCTACAAAAAACGACGTGTAAGCGCCAAGACAATTGCACGTGGGCCGTGTTCTATAACGCAATCTGTTGTCTCCTCTACGGGAAATATAGCAGTGAAAGTAGACCCAGTCGAACAAATAAACACTATTAAACGAACTTTATCTGTGTTTTATTTTTATCTCAGCTTTTAGCTCAAACAAATAACGCCATTCATTCATCTGATTCCGATTGCTTGGCCCATTTAACAATATTGTTTTACAATATTCATTTTCTTTTCTGTTTCGACTGGAAGCAAGCAAGTTGTCATGACTTTTTGTAGAATTTGGATCATACATCCGCAAACTGACACGATCGCAACTGACAAATGACTAATCTGATATGTTATGAGTAATAATCTCAGTGGTACAGTTGCTCAACGTTGGTAGGCATTTCCACTGCTTGCATCGATTTTACCCGACATGCTTCGCAACCGTGTGAAGACACGTGTATTTTACAACTGTCATTCGCTTTGAGCATTTAAATCTCCTGAAAGCAGAAATTGTTTATATCAATACAATACTTACTTCAATATTCATACCCCGAAGGGTGCTCAGTCTATGTAAACATTCCAAAAATGCATTTGAGGTACGCTGCAAACTTACTTTGGCAACTACACTGTTGTATTGAGTTATGTTTACTCAACATCAATAAGAAAGAAAATGTGCAAATGTGCTGCCTTTTCATTTGTTATTTAGCGTGATTGAAAACAACAAAATACCTAAAAGAAAACAATCGTATCTATTTTAAATTTACAAATTGTGAGAAACATGACATTATTACATTGAAATCTTAGTTTAAAACGCATGTAAAATACGTGTGGCTTTCAACTCGTCGACTGTAGCGCTTTAACAAAACATAAACTTATTTCGATGCAATTATTAACAGATAAAAACGCTGTCTGGAATCTGGAATGACGGTAAAAGTGACCAATCATAGTCAAGCATATGTTTTGGCCATCAAAAATGTCATAGATGCATCATGGACGAGAGGTTCAACGTGTTATTCTTAGTATTGTTGTTCGTTGCTGTATTTTTTTACATATAGATACATTGCACTATAATTTATCATAAACTCGAAACGCTGTTCGAGGAAACAATGAAATTATCTAATGTGCACGTGCACTGGTTTTTTTTAAGTACGTACAATAAAAATCTCTGCGCATGCTTATTAGTGTTTTGGATTTTCCATCCACTGTTATGTGCCCTGCGAACGCAAACATTTTTAGTTTAGTATGAAACATAACCCGATTTAGTCTACAGTATATATTATCGATAAACAAAATTACAAAATGTATGTTTCTGCCATGTTGCATCTTTAAAATGTTTCAAAATACAAATACAGCAAATGACACGTAATTAAGCTTTTAATACGACATTCTCTCTACTACGCCATCATTATAACAATAACTTGCGCCTGCCCGTAAAATGTCACCGCGACGAGTAAACAACTCTAGTTTATTATTAAAACTTTGAATATTTTTTGAAACCTCCAAATCAGTATTACATTTATTAATGAGAGTGAATGCCAATTCCCACGAACTGGCGTGACAATATCGAATAATCCGTGGAACTATAAACATTTTTCCAATACAGTGTAGATTAAATAAACATTGAGCAAATCAATCGCAACTTCAATCCTCACGCGATTATACATATTCGTTCTCAAACATACAGTATTCATTCTGACGCCGTTTAGGTGAACGTATCAGGGGTGTTGCAACTTCCAGACTTCAAGGTGAGCATAACTTTTGTGACATTATGTTTTACTAATTAAAAAATTAGTTACAAAGATAATTACAAAGAACGTATTAAGAACGGAGTTAATGAAGACGACGTATTTTGTTGCTGGGATATCATCATTTTTGCTTGAGTCGTTAGTTTATTACAGGTTTTTAAATATTCGCCTATACGCGAAAAGAAAATACATTTCCATTTATATCGTGCGTCCCAAATGAGTTATTGGTCTATTTTCGCTGCTGCCGTCGGTTTTATGAACGTAGTGGACATGGTTTCTGTGAATATATCGCTGTTATATCTCACTATATTAGTACTATAACAATATCCATGTGATATAATGTCCGCTATAACTCAATATATATATGACATCTTAATATTTCTGTGATATCTAAATATATCTGAGTTATAGTAGTATCGATGTGCTATTATCTTAATATATCTGTAATATCTTGGGATATCTGTGGTATTTCAATATTTCTGTGAGGTCCCAGTTTATCTGTGACATCTTGAAATTCCTGCGATATCTCAATGTCTTATTGATGCATGTCACGAATGTCAAACATTAAATCATGTTTATGTTGTATGTCGTGATGGTGGCGTTTTGTGTTTGTCTTACGGCGATAGATAGGCAATGTTGTTTTTGGCGATAGATAATTGTTAAATATAGAGTGGCAAGATGTTTCTTTTAGTCAGCACTAGGGAAGCGGACTTTGATAGAACCCGATCTGAACGTTCATGTGATCAAATGTGGATGTCCGATCTTGTAGGTACCACAGTAAGCCATTGAATAATATTGCATCATGGGAGTTTGTGATCTATTCTGGAGGACGTCGGTTCGCCGTTGTTGGCAGTATACCATTTTTTACGTGTCTACTAATCACGCGTTTGCAAGTAACGTTAGAACAATACA